CACATAAATAAAATTTTAAAATATTTTCAGAGTGGAGAGATGGCTCAGAGGTTAAGAGCAATGTCTGTTCTTGCAGAGGACTGGTTTGAATCCCAGCACCCACATGGCAGTGAACAATCGTCTGTAACTCCAGTTCCAGGGGATCCAGTGCCCTCTTCTGTCCTCTGAGGGCACTGTACTGCATGGGTGCCTTCACATATATGCATGCATAACACTCATACACATAAAATAAAAATAAATTTCAATTTTTTTTTTTTTTCTGAGACAGGATCTCCCTGTAGCCCCAGCTTTCCTGGATGGAACTCACTATGTATTAGATCTTTAGCCCATCTTTTTTATTGGATCATTTGGTTTCTCGATTCTTTGTTTTATGAGTTCTTTATATCTTCTGGATGTTAAACCTCTGTCAGATGTGTCTCTGGTGAAGATTTTTTTCCCATTCTGTGTGTTTTCTCGTCACTTTTTTTATTGCTTCTTTTGCTGTACAGAAGCTTTTTAGTTTAACGAGGTCCCACTTATTGATTGCTGTCCTTAATTCCTAAGCAACTGCTGTTTGATTTAGAAATCCTTTCCTACACCTATATCCTTTAAGTTACTGCCAATATTTTCTTCTAATAGTTTCAGGATTTCCAGTTTCCACATTGAGGTCTTTGATCCATTTGAAGTTGACTTTTGTGCAAGGTGAAAGATAAGGATCTAGTTTCATTCTTCTACAGGTTGAGATCCAGTTTTGTCAGCACCATTTGCTGAAGATGCTGTCTTTCCTCCATTGTGTGTGTTCTTGGCACCTTTGTCAAATATCAGGTGATTGAAATTGCATGTACTCATTGATCCATTTGGAATTGACTTTAAAAAAAGTATTCTAAGTGGTGGCACATGCCTTTAATCCCAGCACTCGGGAGGCAGAGGTAGGTGGATCCCTGTGAGTTCAAGGCCAGCCTGGTCTACATAGTGAGTTCCAGGACAGCTGGGGCTACAGGGAGACCCTGTCTCAAAAAGACTAAAAGAAAAAGTATTCTTTGGGTGTGTGTGTGTGTGTGTGTGTGTGTGCACTCACATGTCTGCTGTGGGTGCTTTGGATCTCCCCCCAGGACTGGAGTTGCAGGCAGTTGTGAGCTGCCTGATGTGGGTGCTGGGAACCAAACTTGGGTCCTCTGCAAGCATAGTGCTTGTTCCTAACAACTGAGCCATCTCTTCAGCCCCTCTGGCTAGCTTTCTTATTATATAGCTCAGGACCATCTGCCCAGGGAATGGTGCTGCCCACAGTGGGCTGGGCCCTCTTACATCAATAATTAAAACAATCTCCCAAAGATATGGTCACAGGGCAACCTGATCTGGACAAACCATCAGTTGAGACTCTTTCAGATGAGTCTAGGCTATGTTGACAGCTGATGCTAACTAGGATACTTTTTGGCAGTTGGGTGGTTAAACGTCTTCCTAAATTCTGTCCCTGAGATCAGTTATTCTAGACCAGGTGTCATCCTAGAACAGGTCCAGCCTGGATGGCTTTCAAGCCTGTGTGTAACTCTGGGGAAACATTTCTTTTCTTTTCCCTTTTCTTTTTAAAAATTCTTTCTCTGTGCGTGTTTATACATGTGTCTATATCAATAGGTGTACTTGGCTGCGATTGCACATATGGAGGCCAGAGGTCAGTTTCAGCTACCTTCTTCTGTCACTCTTCCCCTTATTTTGAGACAGAATCTCCTGCTGGGCTGGGAACTCAATGTTTTAGCTAGATTGTTTGGCCAGCTAGAGGCCCTCTTGTCTCATTCTCCCCAGCACTGGAGTTACAGAGGCACACTTCCAGGCCTGGCTTTGAGGTGGGTGCTGAAGTTTGAACTCAAGTCCTCATTTAAAATTTTTTATTTTATTTATTTTTATTTTACATGTATGAGTATATTGGCTACATGTAGATAAATGCACCCATGTCGTGCAATGCCTGCAGAGGTCAGAAAAGGGTGTCAGATCTCCTGGAACTAGTTAGGCCAGTTGTTGGCCACCATGTGGGTGCTGGGAACTGAACCTGGATCCTCTGCAAGAGCAAGTGTTCTTAACCACTGAGCCATCTCTCCAGCCCCCAAGTCCCTGCTTTTATGTTTTGTGTTAGCTTATAATTAATTATACATAGGATGGATATCTTTTTTTTTTCTTTAATTTTTTGGTGTTTTGGAGACAGGGTCTCCCTGTATCCCCATATGGCCTGGAACTTGCTATGTAGACCAGGCTGGTCTTGAAGTCAGAGAGATCTGCCTGCCTCTGCCTTCCAACTGTCAAGTGCTGGGATCAAAGCTGTGTGCTACCATGGCAAATAATGGAGTTCATTAAGACATCTCTATGCCTGCATATGATTTTTTTTTTTTTTTGGTCTTTTTGAGATAGGATTTCACTATGTAGTCCAGGCTGGTCTTAAACTTCTGAGCCTCCTGACTCAGGCTTCTGAGTACTGGGATTGTAGTTGTGAACCACCACATCTGGATCTGAGTAATTTTCCATTATATAGATACACAGCATTTTAATTACATGTTTTAGTTTTTCAGTCTCATGCTGTAGCTGGGGCTGGTCTTGAACTCTTGGCAATCATTCTGCCTCAGTCTTCCAAGTGCTGGGATCAGGGGTGTGAGCCACCATGCCAAGCTTGACGTTTTCATTCATTCATCATTTGATGGACACTGGGTTGTCTTTTATCTTGTTTGCTTACTGGGAAGACTGCTAGGATAAAAAGCTAGGCATCAGGCTGGGGTGTGGCTCAGTTGGTAGAGTACTTGCCTATCATATACGAAGCTCTGGGTTCTACCCCAAGCTCAATAAAAACTGGGTATGGAAGCACATGCCTGTAATCCCAACACTCAGGAGGTAGAGACAGGAGATCGGGATCAGGGTCCTCTTTGGCTTGTCTACATATACAATGACAGGCTAGCCTGGATATATTAGTCAGGGCTCTTTTTTTAATGTTTTATTATTTGTATTTTATGTGTATGAGTGTATTGCCTGCATGTATATAAGTGCACCTATGTCATGCAGTGCCCACAGAAATCAGAAGAGGCATTGAATTCCTCTGGAACTGGCGTTATGAACAGTTTTAGCCACCATGTGGGTGCTGAGAAGTGAACCTGGGTCTTCTGCAAGAGTAGCCAGTGCTCTTAACCGCTGAGCCATCTCTCCAGCCCCCTAGTTGGGGTTCTTTATGGGAACAGAACTAGTAGAATGAAAATGTATTTAAACAGGATTATTAAATTGGCTTTCAGATATGGTTTGGGTAGTCCGACAGTGGCTGTCTTCATACTGGAGAGGCTAAGAACCCAGTGGCTTCTCAGTTCATGAAGCTGGAGGCCTCAGTAGTCCCAAACTGGTGCTGAAAGCCTCAAGGATTCCCGGAGAGTCACTGGTCTTCAGTCCTCACTGGAAGGGAAGAAGAATCTAGGCTCATGACAGCGAAGGATGGTGACAGTATGTGGTAGCTACGGAGTCGATGAACTGCCTGTGAGACGGGAAGGCAAGCTTGCAAAAAGCAAAGGCTTCTACTTGGACTCTGTTCTATCTGTGCCACCGTTCTTCTCACTTTCAATAACCTAATTGAGAAAATCAGCGAGACACAGCGGTGCATGCTTTGGAGCTCTGGGGAGGCAGAGGCAGGGAGATCTGGGTGAGTTCGAGACCAGCCTGGTCTACATAGTGAGTTCCAGGCCAACTGAGGACAGGGAGGCCCTATCTCAAAAACAAAAAAACAAAGACAAGAAAATCCCCCACAGGCTTGCCTTTTAGTTGACTCTAGATAAAGTTGACAATCGAGATTAACCATCACACTGGGCTACAGGGCACATTGCCTCGAAAGCAACCTAACAGTCTCACAGCTGAGTACATCTTCACCGAAGTCTGTGTGGATGGCCACGTCTAATTCTCTGGGGCGTGAACCTGGGTTTAACTATTCGGAGACTCTGAATCTGTCTTCCACAGTGATTGTATCATTTTATGTTTCTACCGCCAGAGGCAGCAGAAGGCCCGTCTCTCTATTTGAGTTGTTTTGGTTTCTATCACAGGGCCCTTGATAGTTCAGAGTGCCTGGTGTGGTAACCACCCCAATCCCGAACTCACTACATCTACTGATGGCTCTGTCCCATGACCCGCATATATGAACCTGCCCTGGGGTCACGCTCAGAGCCCACTTTCTACTTGCCTTTACCATGCCAGGGCTTCTTATGCCTGTTTCCTCTCCTGCAGATTTGTTTGCTTGTAATTTTTTTGAGACAGGGTCTTCCTATAGTTCCAGCTGGCCTGGAACTCACTATATAGACCAGGCTGGCTCGATCGCACAGAGATCCACCTGCCTCTGCCTCCCCAGCGCTGGGATTAAAGGCGTGTGCCGCTACATCCAGCTTCTGCAAATCTGAAGAAACACCTCCGCGGAAAGGAAAACTGGAAAAAGTTGGGCCTAGTGCTCGTCCCCCGCCAGGAATCCCAGCATCGGGGGGTGGGGAGGGCAGGAGGACCGCAAGTCTGAGGCCATCCTGCCTCAAAATCAACCAATGAACGAATAAATCAATAGAAAAATTAAAAGAGAACAAAAACAACAGCCACCCCCGCCCCCTCAATTCTGCTTTGCCGGGTTTCTTTTTCGGTAGCTCCTTTCCTTTATCTGGTCGTTCCTGCTAAAACCGAGGCGCCCTGCTTATCTGGAGTCAAGGGCAGGTGGGAGCCCGATTCGAACAACTTGTACCGGGGACACGCACCGGTGCAGACAGGCGATTCTGCTACTTTGCTGGGCACTCGGCCGGCCGCGAGCGTCAGCAGCCGAGGGACAGGCCCTCACCCACTGGCAGCGTCCCCAGGGCCCGCACCCCGCGCTCCAGCCCGCAGTGAGCGAGCACAAAGGTCTGGGGCAGCGGCGGCGTGGCGCTGCCCCGCCCTCCCGATGGCCCCGCCCCGGACCTCGAGACGCGCGTCCATTGGTCAGGAGCTCTCCGGGGCGTGGCCTCCGAGCCCCGCCCCTCGCCCCTCGGCCTCGCCCCCTGCCCCGCTCAGCTCTCGCAGTCGGAGCCCAGCAGCAGGCGGAGTCGAACGCGTTGTTTGGTAGGCGGCTGTTCCCGGGACTTGCGGGAAGGGCGCGGTGGGGCGCGGGGTCCCCAGGCCCCGGGAGCCCAGGGAATGGGACGGGGATCTGCTCTGTACCTTAACTCCCCCCTCCCCTCCGCTGGGTCTTAACGACTCTCCAGCGAACACCGCGGTCCCCCCCCCCGCTCCCCCTCCCCGACTTGACCCAGTCGCCCGACTTGTTTGTGGTGCGCCGGTTACTCATCGCCCCCGAGGGACATGTGTGGGTGTGGCCGCAGCAGGAGGGATCGCAGCCTCGCATCCGATTGCACTTCCCGCCAGGCCACCTGTTTTGTGGGTACGGGGAGCGCCCTCCCTTCCGCCTCACCCGTAGGCTGGAGCATCTCTGCTGGGGACTCGCCACACGCGGGAGGCGGAGCTGTCCCCTCAGGGCCTGGCCGCGCCAGCTGCGGGCTGGACTGGGACGGGGGTGAGACCCTGGCCAGGCCGGGAGAGGGGGAGCGGCCCTGGCGCCGCGCAATTGGCCGCTTCTGGGGAGGAGGAGTAGCTTGAGGTGCTCACCCGGGGTGTTTTCGTCCGGATGGGGGCCCCCCAGGACGCAGAGGAAAACTTCACCGGCGCTGGCAGGCCGGAAATGCAATGTTGTTTTTTGATTTTTATTTTTAAAAGCCAGGATGAGCCCACAGCAGTAGAGGTGTGTGCAGCGGTAATTGGAGATCGGCAGGCCCCACAGGGCCTGAGTTCTGAGAGGTGGAGGAGGTGTCTGCAAAATACAGGGCCTCCTCTGCTGACCGGGGTAGAACTTTTACCAGAAAGGGGTGTGTGCTGGAACAGAGGGAAGTGGCTACCCCTGTGTCCTGAGAATAGGGAGTTATTTTTCTTCTTCTGGCTATTTGGCTATTTCTCTGCCTCTGTGCCCATTTTTGGTGCTTCTCCTAACTGAAGCTAGGAGGAACTTGTGAAAAAAAAAATCGATTCATTAAACTGGAAGTGTTGGTTGATGCCTGGAGTTCAGGGTCATACTCAGCCCCATAGCAAGTTTTTTGTTTTGTTTCATTTGTTTTTAGACAGGGTCTCCCGCTAGTCCCAGCTGGCCTGGAACTAGCTCCATCATTTTGTCTCTGCTAGGATCAAAGGCGGTAGCCACCATGCCAGCCTGGGCTACATGAGACCCTATTTAAGAAAAAAACAATTAGTGCTCCTGCTTTCTGACCCTATGCCCCTAAGAGATTCTTTAAGTCCCAGCTAAGCCATTCCCTGCAATGGCCTGAGGCTTCCCCAGAGCCTCCTTCCCTCTACCATCCTTTCTAGTAGCAGCCTGGGTGCCACTGCCCCCTCCCCCCAACTTGTCTGGGAGTCCCTCCAGGGTGAGAACAAAATCTCCTGTGTTGGGGTCACAGTGAGCTGAGCTAGGCCCGGCCGTCCTGGGGTGGTGGTGTGTGTGTGTGGGGCTGCCTTTCTTTGTCCTGCCCAGTGGCCAGGGAAGGAATTTGGTTTGTAGCTCATCAGCTGACTGTTAAGAGGGAAGGGTTCTTCAGTGGCCCCGGCCTGACGGGAGCACCAAGGGGGCCATTATTGTAGATCGAGCCTGCCTTCCGCTATTCATGGTGGCTTCGTCTGCTGCACTTCCCTGTCCAGGTGGACAGACAGGAAAGTGAGTCAGGGAACCAGTGGGTGGTGGTAGGGTGTGGAAGAGATTCTGGCCCAGTAATGGGGAGGATTGGGGGAAGACTGGGAGACAACAAAGTGGAAGGAGGGCCAGGGAGGGGAGTGCAGGGCTGTGTTTGGGGGAGCATGGGGCTTACTTGGACTAGGACGGACTGTCAAGCAGAGAGCTGGGGTGGCTTCTGTCCCTTGGATGCCCCTCCCCTCTGGAGTTTTGTCGACGACATTGGAGGGGCTACTTGGCTTCCAGCTTTTTCCCAGTCCTCAGACCCAGAGGGCGGGGTTCCCTAGCTGGGCCCCTGGAGGGGATAGGCCAGTTCTCATTGGCTGGGGCTGTTTGCTCTTCTTGGCGATGTGGCCCCGCCCCTGCCGTCCCTTCCTCTCCTCCTCTTCTCCCCGGAACAATGGAGCTGAGTGTGGCTGGCCAGCCCCCAACACTGTATGAACCTCTGGTTCTTTCTTTGCCCCTATGTCTTCCAGGGATCCCCGTGTTTAGTCCAGCTAACCTGTCCCCCTTCTCCCCCAGCCATGGGCACTTTTCTATGAGGTTCGGATCTGGCCGGGTAGGGGTGGAGATGGAGGTGGGAACCAGGAACCCAGGGGAACTATGTAACTCCTGGAGCCCTGGCCCTGTGCGGTTTGCTTATGTTGGGAGAGTGGTCTGTTCCTTCGTCCAGTCCGTGTCCATCCATCCCGGCCGTCGTGTCCGTCCCCCGCCTTGGTGCTGGATGGTTTGGCAGCCACCTCCCCTGGGTCCCCTTAGAAATGTAGTCTTGGGGATTGGAGAGATGGCTCAGCGGTTAAGAGCACTGAATGTTCTTGCAGAAGACCGGGGTTCGAATCCCAGCACCCACATGGCAGCTAACAACTATCTGTAACTCTAGTTCCAGGGGATCCAACAGCCTCTTCGTCCTCGGGCATTGCATGACTCAGGTGCACTTACTTACATGCAGGCAATAACACACATACACATAAAAATAATAAATATTAAAAAAAAAAAAGAAATGTAGTCTTGAGGCCTGGGATAGTAGCTCGGTGCTACAGCTGGGAGATCCTGGCTTTATCTCCAGCACCAAAACCAAAACAACCCCCAAGACAGAACTACTAAGCAAGTGACCAAGCAAAACATCACTAACTCCACCCACACCTGCAGAGTCTCAATTTGAATTTGGACATGGGCCAGAGATTCCCAGGAGCTGCGGAGGCTGGTCCTCAGTTTCCTAGGATGACGGGACTGAAAGAGTGCATCCCCAGGGGCTGATGGGAAGGGGAGCCTAATGCCTGGTGCCCACCAAGCCACAGCATTAGAAGCAGCACTGGTTTCCCACCTTCTCCTCTGTAGCTGGGTCTTTAGTCTTAGTGTCTGCTCTGTCCCTTTCCCTTAGTGTGACCTGAGTCTTCAACAGCCCTACCTGCTAGTATGGCCTGGCCCTCTGCTGGTGGGGCGTCCCAGCACAATGCCTAGTGGTGACCTTCCCCAGCTACAGACCCATCTGAAGAACAGGCTTTGAGAGGTTCTAGCCTTGCCCGAGAATGAAGCGTCCAACTTGAACTATGCTCTTGTTCTCCAACTCCCCATTTTCCTGCCTTTAAGGAGCCTTGTGAAGTGAACTCCCTCTCACTAAAATGTAAATGACTGCTAATACTTCCAGGCTCCACTCCTTGAAGTAAGCACCTGACTTCTGGCTCAAAAGATTATTCCCAGCTGGGTGTGGTGCTCTGAGCCCCACTCCCATCCCAGCACTAGGGAAGCTGAGGCAGGAGAATTGCCATGAGTTCAAGGCTAACCTAGGATAAACAGTGTAAGACCCTGTCTTAAAAAAACAGAGGGGCTGGAGAGATGGCTCAGCCATTAAGAGCACTGGCTGATCTTCCAAAGGACCTAGATTCAGTTCCTAGCACCTGTATGGTAGCTAACAACCATACCTAACTCCAATTCCAGGGGATCCAACGACCTCTTCTGGCCTCTGGGCATTGCATGACGTGGGTGCACTTAGGATGCACGTAGGCAAAACACTCATACACATAAAAATTTAAAACAAACGGAGAGAGTGAGGAAAAATTCATCTTGAATATGGCTGGGAACTTTAAGGCCAAGAGCACAGAAGGTGCTGGCTTTGGCCCCTGGGTAACAGAAACCAGGGCTCTGATTTTGGGGTGGGCAGAAAACTCCTAGAACCTTCCAGGACTTGCTGAAAGGCTATGGAAAATTTCCAGGCTATTTTCAGCTGAGGCCCCCTTCTCCACAGTTCTCAGGGTAAGAGGCTGAGAGGCCCACTTCCCTGGGGGGACAGTCAGGGTAGATGTGGCTTCCCTCCCTCTGCCCTGGCGCTCTCCTTGGGCTGGACAGCCCTCAGAACTAGGGCCTGCCTGGGAGGGGCTTGTAGCTTGGTGTTCATCTTGTCCTGTCAGTGAGCCTTTGGAAGGCCCTGGGTTTCTGCTGGTGCACTTGGGTAGTGCAGTATATCACATATGTGGCTGGGGATGTAGCTAAGATAGAGCACTTGCCTAGAGTGCATGAACCCTGGGTCCCATCCCCAGCATTGCTTAACCTGGGCATGATGCAATCCCAGCAGCTGGAACGTGGAGGTGAGAGGATCAGAAGTTCAAGGTCATCCTCACCTGCATAGCGCAAGTTGGAAACAAGCCTGGGCTAAGTGAGACTTTGTCTCAAAACAACAACAACAACAATAAAAAAGAGGTACAACCGAGGGACCCAGGTACTGGAGGGGGAGCCAGGCTCCATCCCTCCATGCAGGGTGCGTGTACACAGCTGTGTGCATATGTAGGTGAGCAGATATCCACACTCACATGGACATGCAGTCCTTGCTTATATACCCATGAGCATACCCCCCTGTGCATATAAGGTACCTGTTCACAGGATCATGTACTCAGGCATGCGTCCAAGTTCACTGGCATGCCCATACCTATGTACATTCGTACTTGTAAACACGTGCACTGAGCCTGGCAGTCATGGCTCACTGTGGCTGTGATATTTTGTCAGAATTTGTTTCAGGCCAGAGGCTTATCAGTTCTGGTCTAGAGAACTTAACCCAACCTTGACCCCTCAGTGGAGCGGCAGGGAGGGTGGTTTGGGCTGGCCATGCCTTCCAGGGCCACGCCTGGTATTGGTGAGAGAGCAGGCTGCAGCCTGTGTTGGAGGTAGGGGTGGGAGCTTGGGCTGCTGCAGGCCTCCTTCTGGTGTGGGAAGGCCAGAGTGGCCTCTTGGGTGCCTGTCCCCCACAGCTGAACTCTGACCCCTTTCCCCACATTGCCATTTCCTCTTCTGGGCCTGCTGGGGTAGCTGGCTGTGGGCAGGGCTGACTCCTGACAGGCTGCTTGAATAGTGAGTGATACAGCCTCCCGATCTCCCGGGTGTCTCCCCTCCATCCTCTGTCCCTGTCTCCTCCCATCATCTTCCCCCTGACCTAGTCACTGCATTTCTGTGCCTCAGCTTCCTTCAGTGTCTGATAAATGTGTGTCTAGCACTCAGCACATACCAAGGGCACTTCCCACACTTAGTGACAAATGCTCCCAAGACCCTGGCCTGCTCCTGGGCTGGGCCTGGGATGTGGAGGAACCCTTGTGTTGGCCTCAGCTCCCACCCCACCTTCTGCTGAAGGCTGTGGGCTTCTGTGGGCCTTTCTGAGGGACAGGGTGGATTTGGGATGTGAGGGGCTTGAGTGGAGAGTGAGGAGGTTCCGTTTGGGGCTTCTTCCGTCAACCCTGAGAGGTGGGCATGCTAAGGTGTGTGAGCAGACAGGTGGATGGTGCAAAGAAGGGAGGAGACGGAAAACAGCCATGATGCTGTGATACAGTGTGGTTCCCAGGCTGGCCCTGTGCTCTGTACCTCAATTCCTACCTCCACCATCCTGAAGGCCTTCACCTATACCTGACTCTCCCCAACTTCAGGGCCTTTGCACACCTTGCTATCTATACCTAGAACACCCTCCCTCCATTTTTCTTTTCTTTTTGAGACAGTGTCTCTGCAGCCCAGACTAGGCTGGAACTCACTGTGTAGCCCATGCTGGCTCAGAGGAGCCTCTTTTTTTTTTTGCCTCAGCCTTTATCAAGTGCTCAGGTCACAGGTGGGCACCAATATTCCTGGCTTCTTTTGATTTTTCAAATGGCTGACTAACTTTCACATTCCAGGCCCACCTTACACCTCCACCTCTTTACTTTTTGTCCCTTCTTTTAGCAGGCCTTCTGGCCATCTATGACCACCACCTTTCCGACACATTTACATGTTTGTCCTCTGGTTCCAGGTTCTGCCCTGTGTCTCCTGTATTATGAACAGAGCTTCGTGCTGGGCATGTTGTTAAGTGACTATGATTGTGGTTAACAGCAAAGGTCTTAGCTAACACTGGCTGCTTGCGTGTTCTGGACAGAGTGTGTACCCAGTGCCCAGAGCCTGTATGTATCTACTTCTTTTAAATTTAATGATTTGTGTGAAGTTGGGACAATTCACATACAGACAGAAGCCTAGACCTTGGAGGTTAAGTCACTTGCTCAAGATCACTCATCTGGAAGGTAGGAGATGGGGGGAGAAGGGACAGGGAGACTGGTTAGAAGGGGGAAGGGCAGTTCTCCACCTCATCCTGATATCACCTAAGACAAGATCTCTTTCTTTTTGCTGCTGTATAGGCTAGGCTGGCTGGTCTATGAGCTTCTCTACAGCCCCATTAAAATACATATGTTGTTTAAAAAACAGAAAAATCTGGAGAGATGGCTCAGCAGTCCTGGGAGGCCTGGGTGGGGGCCCAGGGGCCCACCCCACCCTTTCCCTCTCTGGGCCAGCCTTCTTCCCAGAACTCCCGGCATTGGAACATTCCAGGACTCTATGACCTGTGCTGGAGCCCTGACTGCCAGGCCAGCAGCTGGGACCTCTGTGAGGTGGGGGCTTTCCTGGGCTTGTAAGTCCTGCCTGGCTGGGGTCACAGCTAAGAAGAGGTCAGTAGGTAGCTATGTCACTTGGGTGGAAGGCTGTCCAGTCACACTTTCCAGCCAGCCAGCCAGCCAGAGTCCCCAGAGGACGAGGGGGCATACAGAGAAGTCTGAATCTTAGGGAAGGAAGAGGGCTGCCCTTGTCTTGCGCCCACTCCTCCCTGGAACCCAAGGACCCAAAGGTGAAGGGTTAGAGCAGAAGGGGCCTTGCTGGGTAGAGCAGGTGAAAACTCCGAACCCCAGGGCCATCGAGTTACTACAAATGGAGGAATGTGGCTACCAACTGGGGCTCAGGGTCCACAGAGCTGTGGATTCTTTGCAAAAGTAGCTGAGGGTATTGGGAATGTGGCTCCATTGGTAGAATGCTTGCCTAGCATGCACGAAGCCTTGGGTTCAGCCTCCAGCACCCCATTAATGTGATGTGGCACACATCTGAAATCCCAGCTCTTTGGAGGTTTGAGGTTAGCCTGGACTACGAGACCCTAGCTTTAAAAAAAGAGAAAGAAAAAAAGTGTAGCTGTGATACTTAGAAGACAGTTCCTTACTTTACAGACCTACACAGAAGCCACACAAACCTATTCGGGCCTGCTGTGAACTGGAAGGGACTCCTTCAGGCTGCTCCCCTGGCCCCTTGGGAGTTTGTTTACCTTAGCTTCACCTTCTCTCCCCATCCCCAGTCCTGAGCAGATGTGGCGGGACCCATGAGGTTGACCCCCTCCTCAGATGTGGAAGCAGCTCAGGAAGGGGGAAGGACTTAGCCCAGGGCCAGTGCTGGGGCGGTTGCTCTTGGCCTACAGCCAAGGCTGGTTGGAATCCTTCCCATCTGGGGTCTCTTGGTGCAGGCTGTGGCAGGCTGTCTGGTGCTGCTGCCCGAATTCTTCCTTTTGGTGTTTTGAATCATCTATCACACCAATCCAAGCTGGCCTTGAGTTCACAGCAGTCCTCTTGCTTCAGTACCCTTCTGCCTATGGGATTCTGCTATGTCTGAGGGGATTTCATCTCATAGCAGGGAGTGTGCCCAGCTACTGGGAGCACCTCTTCCTGGTGGCCTTTCAGGGTCATCTACCGGCCATAGACTCATGCTGGACCCTCAGGGAGCCATACAGGGCTTTGAGCTTTCCCGGGGGGTGCCTGCTGGGTGCTGCTCCCTTCTCTTTGGTATGTGGGGTAGAGTGGGATGGGAGGAAAGGGTCCTGAGCTCAGTGTTGAAGTCACGCTGGCTGAAGGTGTCCTGCCTGCCCCCTTTCACAGTGTTTACAGAGGGTTCTGAGCATAGTAGGAGAGGGAGAGGGAAGCTGATCCTCTCCTTGTCATAGGGGGTTACCTGACATTTTCTTTTTGTGTGGATGTGGATGTGGAGGCCAGAGGGTGACCATCCAAGGCCTTTTTAAAAAAAAGTTTTATTTTTATTTTTAAATATTTTATTATTTTATGTGTATGAATATATTGCCTGCATATGTGGAAGTGCACTTGTGTTATGCAGTGCCTATGGAGGTCAGAAGATGGTGTCAGAGTCCCTGGAACTGGAGTTATAGACAGTTGTTAGCTGCCATGTGAGTGCTGGGAATTGAACCTGGGTCATCTGCAAGAGCAGCCAGTGCTCTTAACCCCTGAGCCATCTCTCCAGCCCTATTTTTATTTTTAATTGTGTGTATATATATCTGTGTGAGGGTGTGTGCACATGAAGGTGCCTGTGGAGGCCAGAAGAGGGTGTCAGATGTAGAGCTGGAGTTGTGAGCTGCCTGATGTGGGTACTGGGAACCCATCTCTGAAGGATAGTACATACTCTTAACCCCTGAGCCATCTCTCCAGCCCATCCTAGACTTTTTAATTATATTTTGGTTCTGGGGATCAAAGTCGGGTCTTGGTGCTTGCTTGACAAGCATTTGACTGACGAGCCATCACTGTAGCCCATGCCCTGGCATTTTCTTGCAGAGCTGTGATAGAGGAGATCTGTAGCTGCCATGGGAGCCAGGTTCTGGCACCAGAGCTGATACCTGAACCAGGGGGTGTGGCTCCAGACAAGGTGGTCTGGATTGTGCTTGGCAGGCAGTCTCTGGCTGTTCTGGGTCTGGGCCTCTGATGCAGGACCCCTGAAAGCTCCCATCTCTCAGCAGGTCAGCCATGTCATCTGAGCCTCCCCCCCGGCCACAGCCCCCTACACATCAGACTTCTGTTGGGCTGCTGGACACCCCTCGGGCCCGGGATCGCTCTCCATCCCCACTTCGGGGCAACGTGGTCCCCAGTCCTCTGCCCACCCGCCGGACGAGGACCTTCTCAGCGTGAGTCTAGGGTGGGGCTGTTGCCCCAGTGAGGGCCGATCCCCTCAGCATTCCCTGGAGAGGCCTGGGGCTGGGTGATGGGTGTGGGTGAGGAACAGGGAGGTGCCCTCCAAACTTAAGGTGCTGTTACTACAGGAACCTGCCCTGGGTGGGCGTGCTAAAATCACTGGGCTTTAGCCACACAGGCCTCTTCCTTATGAGACCTTGACTTCTTGCTGTGCAGTGGGGACAGTTTCCGGGTAGACACTGGCAGGTGTAGATTTTGGGCCCAGGAAGTGGGGGAAGCAGCTGTTAGTAAGTTTGTGAAGGGGATGCTCCCAACTCTCTTGGCTCACCCCCCTCAGGCCTGAGAAAATGTGCTAAGGTCACCCAATCATTTCCATCCCTCTGTGTGAATGGCTCCCAGGGCTCTATAGTACACAGCCTGTATGACTACATGGTAGCCCTAAGCCAAGCCTCCCTCCCTGGGATGAAGCTGGGGCAGAGGCTGGGATGAGGTGGGTGTGCCCCAGGGGAGTGGTGGAGGGCTAATGATGTCCACTCACATCTTCCTGTCAGGACGGTGAGAGCTTCACAGGGCCCTGTCTACAAAGGGGTCTGTAAATGCTTCTGCCGGTCCAAGGGCCACGGCTTCATCACCCCAGCTGATGGTGGCCCTGACATCTTCCTGCACATCTCTGAGTGAGTTCCCTGTGGTGAGCCTGGAGGCCTGGGCTGGGGGTTGGAGGTGGTGCTGCTATGGTCCCACACAGATGGGGATGTGTGACAGAAGGGTCCTGGGCAGGAGGATGTGTGTAGGGGTATGGGAGGCTGGACAGCAGTCCATGTGTGATGGTGACTGGTCTGTCTGAACTGTGAGGCCTTTGATGTGTGTCTACCAGACACTGGGCACGGGGAGCAGGGTGGGGACTGCTGGGTCTGGCGTGCATAACTGTGCCCTGTGCCTGGCCTATGGGGAGGGTGTCAAGGGAATGGCCTGTTGAGGCGTGGGGGCTGCTCACTCATCCCTTCTCCAGGAAGGAAGCTCAGGGCTGGGCCCTTTCTCCTACCATTTACTACTGGGGCTCTTCCTTCCTTCCTGTCTGGAAGCCTCAGGAGCCCAGGATGTGGCCTCTCCCCACCCCAGCCTCTTTCATCTTTGTACTCTTGGGTAGCCTTTGGGGAAGGCTGGGGAACATTAACTGGACCCCCTTCTTTTGACCCAACCACTACCCCCAGATTTTGTCCTGGCTGAGCTAGAGATAGAATCCAAGGTGACAGCAGAGACCTGAGAAAGATATTTTTGTGAGTGATGTCTGGGTCTGCTGTTGAAACCAGGCTACAGGGAGCTTCCTGGTGGCCAAGCCAAAGAGGGAAAATGTGATTTCCCTGAGAGTTTCCCATCAAAACCAGTCAGTTCTAGGGGATGTTGGCTGACCCTGGGGCTCAGGATCTAAGAGGGAGTTTCATTTTGGGGTCTTATCAAGGGACATCAAAATGCCACCCTCACTGTGAAAGGGTGACTAATCCCCTAGAAAATCAGGGAGCCCTCCTGGTTTTGGTCACAAGGGAGAAACTTTCTGGAACTAGCTTGGAGTGTATTAAACACTTTTTGCTTTCCTCCAGTACTATAAACAGAGCCTAGGCTCTTCCATGTGCTAGGCCGCTGAGCCATAGAAGTCTGTCTCAAGACGGTCTTGTAGTCATGACTGGCCTGGAACCACCATATAGACCAGGCTGGCCTCACTCTCACAGAGATCCACCTACCTCTGCCACCCAAGTGCTGGGATTAAAGGTATGTACCACCATGCCTGGCTTTCAGCACTCTTTAAAAACATTAAAAAAAATTTATGTGTATGAGTGTTTTACTTGCATGTAAGGGCACCATCTGTGTAGATTGCCTGTGGAGAGCTGAAGAGGATATTAGATCCTCTGGGAACTGGAGTTACAGGCCATTGTTAGTGGCTGTGTGGGTGCTGGGAACTGAACCCTGGTCCTCTGCAAGAGCAACTGAACCCTGGTCCTCTGAGCACCTCTTCAGCCCCCTTAGCATGATAGGGTATCTGTCATGCAACCCAGGCTGGCTTCTAACTTTCTCACTTCTTGTGTAGCTGAGGCTGGCCTTGAACTCTGATCCTGCACCTGCTTTCCAAAGCATTGAGATTATAGGTATATACCACCATGCCTGGCTCAGAACCTTTTGTTTAAAGTTTTTAACTTTATGTATATATTTAATTTGTGTGTGTGTGCATGTTCATTTGTGTATAGGCATGTGCCCACCTAAATTTACCTTGTGACCTGTGTTGCCTTTCTTATTTTTGAGAAAGGGTCTCACTGTGTAGCCTTGGCTGGCCTGGAATTTGTAGTGTAGACCAGGATGGCCACACATTTATAGTGATCAACCTGCCTCTGCCTCAGGCTTTAAAGAAAACCTTTGAGACAGGGTCCCAACTGGCCTTTAACCCTCCCTCTAGGCCAGATGGACTTTCAGTTTGAAATCCTACTGTCTCAGGAACTAGGATCACAGGCCTTGCCACCAGGCTGGCTTTTTAGGTATTTTCTGGAAGGCTTACTTTGTGGGAGTCAAGGGAAAACACACAGCTTGGGACCAGTGACCGCTGTGTGTACACGTTGCTAAGGCAAGCTGGTCCGAGCCACCCTCCCACTTGGATTCTCATTCCATGATGGTCTGTGTCTCTGTCACCAGCAGGCCTAGCATTGAGGTGTGGACAGCTGTGGCTGGGTTCTGTCTTTCAGTCCCAGGGAGGAGCCAGTGGGACCAGGACAGTGAGAGCAGGACACTGAGGCTATTCCTGGAAGGGGTTCCTAGAAGGGGTTCTGAGTGACCAGGAAGATGGAATCTATCCTGATATCTCAGAGTCGAGTCTGAGGGGCTTTCCCTCTGGGCACTAACTGCAGACGGATGTGTGTATATATGTGTGTGTGTGTGTGTGTGTGTGTGTGTGTTATTGAGCCAAGTGTACATGTTTGGGTATGAGTATACACATATGTACAGACACATAGAGGCCAGAGGTCGGTTCCATGTGTCTTCCTCTATTGCTCTCCACCTTCTTTCTTGAGACAAGTCTTTCAGCAATGTGGGACATCAGCACTGATGCACTGGTTGGCTAGGCTGGACTGGCCAGTGAGCATCAGGGATCCTCTTGGCTCTTTCTCTCCAGCACTAGGATACAACTGCATGCCATGGTGCCTGGAGTCTCTACATGGGTGCTAGGGATCTAAACTCTGGTCCTCATGCCAGTACAGGAGGTACTTTACTGATTGGGTCATCTCAGGCTGATTGCTCTTTCTCTCCTGCAGTGTGGAGGGGGAGTATGTCCCAGTGGAAGGCGACGAAGTCACCTATAAGATGTGCTCCATCCCGCCCAAGAATGAGAAACTGCAGGCTGTGGAGGTGGTCATCACCCACCTGGCGCCAGGCACCAAGCACGAGACCTGGTCCGGACATGTCATCAGTTCCTAGGGACCTGCAAGAATCCCTTCTCCTAGGCTTCAGGGAGACTTTGGGGGGAGGAGGAGCAGGGCTACCCTGGAGATGACATTCTACCACATAAGACTGGGCTTCAAGGTGGGGCAGGGTCCCTTTCAAGCAGCTTCTGGAGGAAGGGAATAGGGGGCAGGCAGGCAGGGGTGCTCTTGGCCGCCAGCACAGCCTCTGGCCATTGCAACAAGCTCTCACTATCTGAAAAGCATTAAAAGCATTTGAAAAGGACAGGCACCTGCCATAGCTGAGTGGAGGGTCCAGCCCAAGCCCAGATGATAGGCCAAACCTGGTATTTCCCCAACTACCAGCCCAGAGCAAGCAAAATCAGCCTTTAAGAACCCCTCCTGGAATTAAGAGACAAAAATCCCCAGATCTGTCTGGCTCCCCAGGAATGTCACCAGCCCTGTGATCTTTACTAAGTGCTACCTTACCTGGGACCAGGGCACAACCATCTTCTGATTGACAGCTTGGCTGGTTGTAGGGAGCTGGCTTGTGGGGGGATGAGAGTTTTCAAGTGGACTTTGCCTTTGGTGCCTCTATATCAGGGGCATTTTCCCCCACTCTGGGGAAGGTATACCGCCCCCCCCCCCAACTTCATGCCCTAGGCCACTGACCTTGGACTGGCCTTTTCTACCTGCTTCTAGTTACATGGTAGCCTCCCTGTGGGCATTTGAAGCCTGTCATTAAGCTGGTGCTGAGGGTGGTGTGGGGTGAGGAGGAGAGGCCTGCAGGGAAGGGCTGTGGAGAGGGGAGGGCCTTTCTTTAAGAACAGAACTAGGGCCAGGCTGGTGGTGCATGCCTGTAATCCCGGTACTTGGAAGGCTGAAATAGAGGTCTAGGCCAGTCTAGGTTACATAGTGAGACCATGTATAAAACAAACCAAGGGCTAGGGATGTAACTCAGTGGTAGAGCACTCGCCTAGCATGTGCAGGACCCGGGTTCCATTGCCAGCAGAAAACAAAAATCTCCAAACTTTGACACTGATCTGAAGGTGAGGCAGCTTGCTTCCTGATACCCTTGCAAAGTCAGAAGTTGAAGGAGAAATACACTTTCTATGAGAAGTGAGGCTTCTTTAAAATGGGTTATAAGTTATGGTTTTTGCTTTGCAGTATGAGGGGATCCTTGGGTCTTGTACATGTTAGCCCAGCCCCTGCTGGCCAATCTGACCCCCACCCCCTCTTTGGAGACAGTCTTGCTATACTGCTCTGCAGGCCAGGCTGGCCCAAACTCTTGGCACTCTTTCTGCCTTGGCCCCCCACCTGCTTGGAGTCACAGGTTTGTATCTTCATATACTGCCGATTTTTTAAAAAAATTAACTCAAGCCCTCCCCTGAGCCCTCCTAGTTTGTCCTATCTTGTACTCTGTAGACACACAGGTATTTCAAGTGAGCTGATCTTAGAACTTCCTTTGTTGTGGTTTGCTTTGGCTTTAGTTTTAGTTTAAAAATAGAAGTAGTTGGGTAATAGTTTTGAAATATACGGCCTAAACATAGTCAATAACTTGCTTGTCAACACAGGGATACAAGTCCTGAAATGGTGGCTTTGGGGCACCATAGTGGTCCAGGTTAGAGGCTTGACATGGGGAGCACTGGAATTTACAATTCTGGGGGAGTCTGTGTCCAGCATAAGCACATCTTTTGGAAGGGACAAAGGCTAAAACTTTTGCTGATGGCTCTAGTGGCTTTAAGCAGAAAGGGGCTGGGAGGTAGGTCAGTCAGTAAAATGTTTGGAGGACCTGACTTTGAACCCCAGAAGAAGCCAGGTGTGGTGATGCGCCCTGTAATCCCAGCACTGGGGAGGCAGAGACAATGGATTTCTGGGCTTGCTATGTGGTAGTTCTAGGTCAATGAGAGACCCTGTTTTGTTTTGAAAGGTAGATGACAGCTATGTGCACCTTTTTATTTCTTTAAAGACGGGATCTCATTCTGAAGCTCTGGTTGGCCTGGAACTTGCTATGTAGACCAGGCTTGCCTCAGACTCAGAGATTTGCCGGTCTCTGCCAGGAATGACATCTGAGGTGGTCCTCTGGTCTCCACATATACAACACATACTGAGGACAAGGGGACAGGCACATGCGGGTATGTAGAGCCAGCTCTAAAATCTCCATGTAGCTGACCATTTTGTTGGGTCACTGGTGGCTTTTTTCCTACTGGGTCAAAGGTGGCCTATTCCCCTCCAGCCTTGGTTTGTGGCCCAGAGGTGCTCCTAGGGCCTTTCTGCTAAGAACATATTCCCAAAACTCCTTCTGCCAGGACCCAGGAAGGCTTGCTGGGGCTGACAACCTTCTCTGTTACCCCCTTGCCCCAAAGCATCAGTACGGCTTTGCTCTCACTCTGGCACCTGGTTGGGCTTGGGGTGGCTTCATGTACTGGCCCTCTAGTGGACCCTGGCCTCCAGTGAGCTGGAAGCCCCATTCTGCTGGGCAGTGTAACTTCCAGACTCTCTAGCTAGCTCAGCAGAATCCTTTGTAAAGGGTTCTTCCTCTGCAGTCACATCTTTTCAGACTATAGAATATTCTGGAACTGCAGGATATCTGAACTGGAAAAGACCCCCTTTCTGTTCAGACAGGGAGTATTTACAGATGGGGAGGGACTTGTTGGTGACTGAGCAGGGAAGAAAATGCAGATTCCCAAATTCAGACATTGTTCACATCAGCCACCTTTCTCAATAAAGTGTTTTGTGCAAGGTTCTTTGTGCCTATGTGAACACAGAGGGGACTATACTGGGAAGTTAGGGTGTGTCCCCTGAATAAGGCCAACGCATCCTCTGGAGCATGTTTCTGCCGTTGAAGGGAGAGCCCTTTCATCCTCCAGTGTAGAAAGCTGAATGGAGTTTGTTGGCATCAGCAGGTTAGGTTGTAGGTAAATGCCATGATGGTGTTCGGGGTGTTATGTAATATGAGGGAAACCATCCCAGAGAAGGAGGCATCTCAGCGTCCTTGCTGTTGACATCTGAATCTTGAGGCTCTCCAGGTACCATGTGGGGGGCTGGAAAGGAGGGGACCCCTGATCCAGGAGGGTCACAGTGAGGCCAGCTGCTCTTGGGGAGGAGCAGCAGTTTGCAGAGGGGGAGTGGGGACAATGACAGCTCAGGGCTGGGTGGCTTATCAAGGAGGAACAGTGACTTGTGTAGCAGAGATGGGGATTCGTGGTGAATCATGATTCTCCCAGTGTTGGAAATAACCAGCCCATCAGACCTGTTCAGGAGAAGCCAAACAAGATTAGGTGACTTCAGTACTTTGTGGTGCTGTGGGGATAGGAGGTACCCAGCATGGATGGGGCCTGAGGTGGGGGAGGAAGAAGAGGAAGCAGCAAAGAGGAAGTGATTCAGGGCTGTGGGTGCTCGACTGCACTAGATCAGAGCACATCTGAAGTTATTAGTCCCTGTTCCTCATTCTCCTTATCCAACCAGACTTATGTTAGGGACATCTTCCAGGGGTCAGACAGAGCCTCTGTATGGGAACCAAGCACAGTACCCCCAAGGTTCTAAGTGCCTCCTGACTTTAGTTCAGGCTTTTCCCCTGAGGTTTCAAAAGCCTCAAGGGCTGCTAGGGCAGAGGTGACACTGAACAGCCCTAGGCTGCTTAGGTGTGCCTCAGTGCTTGCTGCCTTTTTTTTTTTCAGGGTCTTCCTGTAGCCTCAGCTGGCCTGGATCTTGCTACATAGACCAGGCTGGCCTTTATCTCAGAGATCTGTCTGCCTCTGCCTCCTGGGATTAAAGGCCTGTGCCACCCCTGCCCTACCAAAGAGCACTCACTGCTCAGCACAGTATTTAAATTCTTGTGAAGCTGACTTCACCCAATCAAAGGGGTTACCTGGGGCCAAGGGAGACTCCAGCTCACAGGACTCCTGGGAGTATCCAGAGTTGGTAATGCCCCCACACCCTGTTCCTATGCTTCTGAAGTCTACTCCTTTGCAGTCCCTACATGATGGGGACTGCCCACTCTGCCAGAAGAGAAAGTGAGGCCAAGGCTTATCCTAAACCACCTAGCTGGCCATCAGCAGAAAGAGACCTTGGATTCTGGCCACCAGCAAGGCCACACATGTATATGACTTAGTGCCAGTCCCCTTACAGCCATACAAAGCCTGGCAAGGGAAGGCCCTCTAATAGGTGGGAGGGTTGCATGAAAACACTTGAGGAGTGGGGGAGGACACAAACAACCAGATCAATACAGGTGAAAGGTCAGGCAGTTCTGATCATGGAGAAGGCATGGGGAGGATCAGTGACAGTCACTGTGGGAACTGGGAAGGCCTAGGGTATACCCGGCAGTTTGGGGTACACACCTGAGGACAGTTCCCCTCTCCAGCTACAAGTTGGAATGGGAATCCGGGACCTGAGCTGCAGGCAAAATGTGGCCATTGGCACACCTAGAAGTGAGGGCTCCAGGTGTTACTGGAGCAGAGCAGAGGCTTCGAGGGCTGAAAGTGGAGCTCCCCTTGGAACTGGAAGGACACCTGCTCATCTTTTACCTCACTACCCACTTGCCAATCAGAGGGGAAAGTGACCAGAAGTGGGAAACCGTATAGTCCCTTTAATGTGCTTCACTGTTAAGGGATTAACAGCAAAACTGCAAAATCCAACAAGGACAGATGCCACAGGATGTGGGTCCTGGCACTCATGTGGTGGGTGGACGAAGGTGAAGGGGTTGGCAGCAGATGCCAGTGTGGGCGCCAAGGGGGAGGGTGGGCCTGCCTGTGGTGGGCACACACAGTAGTGGCTGGAGGTGAGCATGGAACAGCAGGGGCTCCTGCCCCAGATCTGTGGGTATTTCCCACTGAAGCCATGGACCCAGCACCAAGCTGCAGCGCCGGGGCTGTGGAACCATTTCTATATGCTGAAAAGCTCTCCCTGAAGGGTGAGGCTTGACACAGTCCAGGCCTAGAAGAGACAGAAAGGATGGGAGCACCTGTTGCTGTGGCCATTAGGGTTTCACTGATGTGGGAGGAACTGGGTCTGTACCTGGACCAGTCAGCTTGGGGGAAGCAGGACTGCAGGCAGGACCTTGCAGGTCAGTGGACAGAGCCAGCCCAAATTCCAGGCCAGCTGAGGTGCAAACTGGGATCAGCAGTCACTTGGTTAACCATCTGTCAGGCCACATTGGGGGCTGTGGCTGACAAACAGGAAGCTGGAAAACAAAGCACCAGCCCTTTGGCAGAACGTTGCCCCTAGTTCATGTTCCAGCTCCACTGCAGACTGTAGACTCAGTGCATCACAGAAGTCCGTCTTCCAGTTAGTTCCAGGTGGGTAACCATGGATGGCCTGTTCTTTCCCATCACCAGATTCCATGTTTTGGGGGTGACTGACAGGTCTGAACATTAACAGCTGTCAGATTTTTCACAAAACCCTAGCTGGGTATGTTGCTGCATGGAATCCCAGCATTTGGAAGGCAAAGGCAGGAGGGTCCTGAGCTCAAGGTCGGCCTGGTTTACATAGGAAGTTCTGGGATAGCCAGGGCACAAAATTGATACCCTGTCTCAAAAAAACAAAAAGTAACAACACACTCCTCCCCCTTTTGACAAGAGCCATGAAGGGTAAGGGGCCCAGGCACATTCTAGTTTCTTCTATCAGTCCAAGATGATGGAGAAGTTTCAAAAATCAATCAAACTAAAAACCCAACCATGTACCCTAGCAGGCAGCTCTCAGACCATGGGCTGGGGAAAGGGTAGTCTTTTCTTAGAAGTTATTCTTATGAGGTACCTAATCCTAGGTTGGGATCCAAGCCAAGGCTTCACCCATGCTAGGCAAATACTCTGTGGGCTACGCCCCCAGCCACCATGCTTTTGTTTTCGAGACAAGGTCTCATTCTGTAGTCTAGGCTGGCCTTCAACTTGTGGCATCCTCCTGCCTCAGCTTCATAAGCAGAGATTATAGGAATAAGCCACAGCCATTTTTGATGTCTCCTTTCCTTTGGGGCTGCTGCTGACACTAGATGGAGGTGGAGGCATGGCCTACTGGTATGCCCATTAAGCTGACCTCCAGACCTTAGGTGACTAGACTCATGAGAGCAGCCAGGCCCGAGGCTGGGGGCTGTGTACATGTGAGGACTCCAGCTCTCGCCCCAAGTGACCCCAAGTGACCTTTCAGTCTTGTTGGCCAGGACCCCTTCCCTCTGGTGTTAAGGGAAGATCTCTTCACAGATCCTGCGTGTGTCCTCAGGTGTGGTCACCGTGTAGCCCACCGTTCTGGGGTCTGTGAAGATCTCGTGATCATTGCCCCCCTGCAGAGACACAAAACAGAGGTAGTAGGCTATGCTTTGTCCTGGGCATGGTTACTGCAACCCTGATGTTCCTAGCTTAGAGGGGGTTTTCTTCAGTTACATTTACATTTCTCTTAGTTTCCAAGAAAGTAAAGACATTTTAGTCACACTGAGAAAGGGGTTTAACCTCCTCCTGAACCAAAATCGAGCTGGGAACAAGTAATTATGCTCATGAAAAGGATCATAATGCCTTTGTGAAGATCTGTCTAAGGCTTATTTTTCTGTAGAGCAAAAAGCACTGCAAGTGACAGAATTCTCATAGCCATCAATTTTTCTTTGCACTGCCCAGATTTCTCCTGCAAGTTACAAGGAGCGTTGGCAGGGCACACAGCCTAGAATGGGGCTGTCCAGACTTCCTGGGATGGACAGGACTGGTCAGTCTGCCTACAGCCACTGTCACATGGAGCGACTGGGCACTTGAGGTGTGGCCAGTAAGAGAGGTACTGAGTTGAGTTTATTTGAATGTATGGTGTATGTATGTATGTATACGTTTCCCTGTGTGCATGTGCTCGGGTGTGTACATGTGTGCAGGCATGTATAAGCCAGAGGTTGACATTGGTTATCTTCTTCTTCACCTTTATTGAAACAGGGTTTCTCACTGAACCTGGAACTCACTGATTAAGCTAGACTAGCTGGCCAATGAGTTTCTAGGGATTTGCCTGTCTCTTCCTCCCTAGTGCTAGGATTACAAGCAGATGCACTGTGCCTGGCTTTTTACAGGGTGCTAGGGATCCAAAGAAGTCCTCGTGCTTGCCTAGCAACCACGTTACTGACTGAGCCATCTCTCCAGTGATGAATTCCTCTGCTTTTCATTACATTTTGGAGATTTTTTGGAGAGGAAATCATGCTATGTAATCTAGGCTGGCCTAGAATTTAAGATCTCTGTTTCAGCCTCCCCAAAGGTGGGATTACAGGTATGGGTCACAATTTAATGAAATTTACATGGCCCTGGACTGCTGGTTTAGGAAAAAGGTCTCTGGAGCAGGTGGCCAGTGCCCTGACGGGTGTGGTGACAGCAACTCCTATTTCTTTTCTTTTCTTTTTTTTTTTTTTTTTTTTTTGAGACAGGGTCTTCCTGTAGCTCCAGCTGGCCTGGAACTCACTACATAGACTGCTGGCCTTGAATTCACAGTGATCTGCCTGCCTCTACCTCCTAAATGCTGGGATTAAAGGTGTGCGCCCCCATGCCCAGCCCTCTTTTTTTAAAAAAATATTTACTTTATTTTGTGTGTATGAGTGTATTGCTTGCATGTGTGTAAGTGCACCTGTGTTGTGCAATGCCCATGGAGGTCAGAAGAGGGCATTGGATTCCCCTGGAAATGGAGTTATGGACAGGTTGTTAGTCGCCATAGGGGTGCTAGGAATTGAACCCAGGTCCTTTGCAAGAGCAGCCAGTGCTCTTAACCATTGAGCCAGCTCTCCAGCCCTATAACTCCTATTTCTAGAATGAAGATCATGGCGAGACGTTCATCTCCCAGAGTATTGCTTTTTATTTTGGCTTTTGGAGACATCTCACTGTGTAGCCCAAGCTAGCTTTGAATTTGGTGTGTAGCAGACCCTGAACTAACAACAATTCTGCTGCGGCCTTTTGAGTACTTAGATTACAGGTGTGAGTCACTATACCTGGAATCTCTCTCAATCTCTCTCTCTCTCTGCCTTTCTCAATATTTATTTTGTGTATATGAGTGTATTGCCTGAACATATGTAAGTGCACTCATGTCATGCAATGCCTGCAGACGTCAGAAGAGGGTGTAGGATCTCCTGAAACTGGAGTTACAGTTGGTTGTTAACCATCATGTGGGTGCTGGGAATAAAACGTGGATCCTCTGTAAGAACAGTCACTGCTCTTAACACTGAGTCATCTCTCCAGCCTCCTCTCTCTCTCTCCCTCTCTCTGTCTCTCTGTCTGTCTGTCTGTCTGTTTCTCTCTCTCTCTCTCTCTTTCTCTCCCCCTCCCCCTTTCAAGTGCTAGAGCTTGAGCTCAGGGCCTTGTGCATGCCAGACAAGTGCTCTACTGCTGAACTACATATATCCCAGCCCCTGAGCCATGGTGGTATTGACACAACAGTGGCATGTCCAGCTAAGGCCCCACTGGCAATCGCAGCATTAGCTGGCAGCTGCCTAAGCATTTTTGCATGTTACTTCACCTGTGAATGCCTCCAGAGGTGTGGGAGTGGGCAAGTCACTCTCCACAAAGATAAGCAAAGGGGTCTTAGAAAGGCTGTTCTGATAACCAGGCATGGAGACAAAGGCCTGTAATCCCTGCACTTGGGAGGCTTAGGCAAGAGGGTGGGAATTTCTAGGCTGGCTTACGCTACACGGCCAGACCTTGTCTCAAAAAACAAAACAAAACGCAATGCAACACAACAAAACAACAAAAAAACCCCACAAAAAACAAAACAACACACCAAAACAAACAAAACACAACAAAACACACCAAACCAAACCAAACCAAAACCAAACCAAACCAAACCAAACAAAATGGCTGCTTTGGATAGGCTGAATCTGGAGGGCTCTGGGTGCCTGGGGCCCATGTGCCCTGGCTGAGTCTAGAGCCCCTGCCATCACCAGTGGCCTTGGGGGCACAGCTGAGTTCATCTGCTGTACCAGCAGCCAGACCCTGCAGGGCAGCCCGCTTTCCTTGTCCTGGAACTTCCTAAGTCTTCCTCATCAAATGAGATGAGCAGTCTTAATACCTTGAAAAAAAATAATGAAAAGAGAATAAAGACAGAATGAATGGATTTTTCTTACAAAACCTTGACTTGAAGCCAAGATAGAGCAAAACTGTGACCTTCAGAAACTCTGGCATCTTTTTAAGATTAACTGACAATGGAGTTACTAGTGGCAAACGTACTTCTTTTTCTCCTGAGACAGGCTTGCTGCTGTGTAGTCCTGGATGGCTGGAAACACTCCACTCTCCTGCCTCAGCCATTTGAATACTGCAGTTATAGGTGTTTTCATTTTTAATCAGAGCCCAAGGGGAGGTGAAACTCAAGACTTTGGGAGGGAACTCACAGGGACAATGGACACCATTCCAGGCCAGCCGGCTCCCCCAGCTTTTGTAGTCATCCATGCTTGGCTCCATGGTCAGCACCTGCTACCTAAGCAAATGCACATGGCACCACTCTAACAATTATTAACAAAGTTAGAGTTCTTTTAGGAACACCTACTGGGTAAACATCAAAGAGAAACCAAACAAGGCAAAAGTAACGTCTGGAATCTTTGGAAGATTCACCGTCTACCTGGAACACATGCCCGTCCCTCACTGACTCAGGGTCCAGTAATTAACTTACTCCCCTGTGCAGCACCTACACCTGCCAGGCACAGTTCAGAAGCTGCAGACAAGCCAGATGTGGTAGCACACCTGCAATCGTACAACTTGGGAGATGGAGGCAGATCAGGAGCTCAAGGTCATTCTCCGCTACGTAGCAAGTTTAAGGGCAGCCTGAGCTACGTGAGATCCTGTCTCAAAAAGCGACAGAAAAACCAGAAGCTGCAGCTAGTGGTACATGAAACCCACACCAGGGCTGACTGGGGCTCCGGGCTCAGCTTTCCTTACAGGGAGACCTGCCACAATTGCATAACTCAATGATGCTCTGTGAGTCAGGGAAGGACTAGAGAATGGAGGGTGAGTGAGTCCAGGGTGCCAGGGTGGGGCTTCAAAGCAGATTGGAAGGAATAGGATAGGCTGGAGATTTCCAGGTAGATGGCAGCCTGAGTGAACCTGTGGAGAGATGCCGGATGGCAATGGGTGGGGATGGAAGGGTCGGCAGAGGCCAGGCCTCACGAGATACCAGAGGAGGTCATAGACATGATGAAATTTGCTTAGGGACAGGATCTGTCTGGAGAACTTACCCACAGGCTCTTAGCTGCTTTTACTATAAAGCATTCACTCCTGACCTGGGCCCACAGGGTAACTAGGAAGGGTAACTAAGAGTGGGAGGAAGCCTGCTCTACCTTCTGTCTTTGCCCTCTGGTATCTGTAGGTAATTACTCAAGAAGTGTCTGTCTACTGAACCCATCTTATCCCCCTGCAAGGCTGAAGGCAGAAAGATGAGTCACTTTCCCAAATCTATAGTCGCCTTGGATTCCAGAAAGAGCAAACTCCCAGAACAGACCAGCCCTAGAGGGGGGCAGTTATCTACCCTGTGAGGCTGCTCCTGGAGCAAGAGCAGTCTCCTGAGAACCAGCTTGACCCCCAAGCAACACCTTGCAGGACCAGAACTAGGACAATGCCCAGCCAGACCACACCTTGCTTCATTTTGCAGACTTCTTGTCTTTCCCCCGATTCTTCCATTTAAACCTAAAGCTCTTGTCAATACCCCAAGTGATGGATTTATGGTCACTGGCCATTCCCAGAGCCCAGGCTTTTGCCCTAAAACTGGTTATGAAGAGATGAGGCGGGTGGTGGAGGGTTAAGGGCACAAAAATGGAGGCAGAGAGAGCAGGAGGTTCCTGACAGAAGCGACTACATTGGAAAAGAGACCCCAGAAGCAAAAAGGATGCATGCTGGTCCCGTGACTGCTGCCATACCTGCCATTCCCTGGAGCAGGCAGCACGGGTGAGGCAGATGCATGCCTGGTGAAACTGATGCTTCATAAAGCCGGTTGTGGAAAATCAAAACCAGGGTTGCCTTTAAAGTGCAGGCGGATCTCTGTGAGTTCAAGGCCAGCCTGGTCTACAGCATGAGACCTTGTCTCAACAAGCATGCATGCATGCAAACAAATGGAGCACGGAACAGTGGTTTGAGGTCAGCAGAAGTAGAACCCAAGTTAGTGGTAGAGGCTGCCTGCTAGAATCAGGCTCCACTGGAACTAGAAAGTTCAGAGGCTGGATCTGCATATGCATCAAAGGTTCCCGATTCTGCTAGGGGGGCTCTGCAACCCCTATTCTCCCAGAACAAAAACTTCCTGGAGAAGAAAGGGTGTGTGTGTGTGTGTGTGTGTGTGTGTGTGTGTGTG